GGAAAGAACGCCCTAGTTTCAGCATTTCTCCTCTATTAATTTAGAGGGCTCGCATTAACGTTGCCCACAGGATGCACTCCGAATGTCTGAGCTCCTCAAGCTGACCTCGATAGCTCCTCATCTCCTACCCAGTCTCCACATGACTCCGTAACTTCTCTTCCGTAGTCAGTGCACCCGTCAGGCACATTTATGTCTTCATATTTTTCTTCTCGATGTTTATAGTTTTACTTCTGTTGAAAATTTTGCACATCCTTCAAAGATCAGCCAGCCCTGTTGGATGATTTTCTCTGATCCTTGGATTTGGAAATCTTTCCCTCTTGGTCTCAAGGTCCTTTGTTTTTCATTTGTTACTTTAGTTCTGCTTAGTGTTGCTAATTGGATCCTTTCTGTCACTAGAGTGATATATTTCTTAGTTGTATTTATTTACCATTCTCTCTCTCTCCCCCGCCCACACACATATGTGTATATATATGTGTGTGTGTATATATATATGTATCTGTATAGATTTATATATTATAGATACCCATATATACGTATCTATATGTGTGTGTGTGTGTATAAACTCAATAAATATCAGTGAAATAGATGAAATACAAAGACCCAAATGTTTTCAGAACTAGAAATACTTACCCTTGTCACCCTTGCATGTCATCTCTTTATCTCATGGCTATTTAGACTGCCACCTTTTTGTTTTGTTTGTTTTGTTTTTACTATAGTGTGTGAGAGTTTGCCAGAGAGTGGGGTTGGTGGGGTGGGAGGGGAGGGAAGTGATAAATTGCCCTCTAGGGGAATGGCTATGCTGCAGTCCCTTCTCTCCAGTCTCCTCTTGGGATGTGGGGCACCTACACACACAGGCCCAGCATGATTTTCAAGCTGCTGGGTCTGTAGCTGCACAGCTGGCCATGTGGGAACCAGTGCCTTAACCTCCATACCACCTGCTGGCCCAAGACTGTCACCTTTGTATCTTTAAGGTATGTCTTCTGCTGTGGTTTAATTATGATCAACATCCTTGATTAAAATAGTTAATGCTCCTAATTGACCTTAGAACAATAATTTGACCTGAAAGAAAAATCCAAACTTTATGTGATGTCCTTCAAGATCTGACTTATGCCACCAGTAAATCTCAAGTCAGTCTCTTCTCACATTCTATTGTACCCATATTGAATTTTTTTTGTTTGTTTCCCAGAAATGGATTTTCTTTCTTTCTTTTATTTTTTTGAGTGAGATTTTTGCTCTAGGCATGTGCGCTCACAGGAGAAACAGAAAGCAAGAAACTTCCCCTTTCACTATCCCGAGGGGGGATGGCCATGGTGCAATCCCTTCTCCTCCATTCTCCTCTCAAGATTTTGGGCAAGCACACACATGGCCCTGGTGTGAATTTAAAGCCACTGTGCCCAGGACTAGAACTACAGTAGGCTAAATGGGAGTCCAGCAACATAACTACCACACCATCTGCTGGGCCCATCCAGAAGTGACTTTTCTGTATGAAATATTTTGTTCCTCCTTTCCCTTCCTTGCTATCTTCTACTGGAAAATTCTGGAAACCATCCCTATCAACCCATACTATCTCCAGCCCCAGACTGGATTAAGCCTTTCTCCATTGGTCTGATAGATAACAGTTAAGGACTAGAAAGCCTTAGGTCAAGATTGACTCTGATTCTGTCACTTACCAAGTACTAATTTCAGACCATGCAAATTTTCGTATGCTTCAGAATTACCTTGAGACCTTATTATGATTCCTGTACCTAATCTTAAGAGTTGCACATTCAAGGGATCAGCAGTTAGCATAATGGCTATGTCGCTGGACTCCCACATAGTCTACCGTGGTTCGCGTCCCGAACCCGGTGGCTTCAACTCACGCCGTGCGCGTGTTCGTGCATGCTCAAGATCCTGAGAGGAGAATGGAGGAGAAGGGATTGCGGCGTGGCCATCCCCCCTGGGGGGTGATTTCTCGCTTTGTTTCTCTATGTCTCTGTCTGTCTGGCTGGCGAGCGCACACGCCCTATAGCAAAAAAATACTCTCAAAAAATAAAAAAAAGAGTTGCACATTCAGTGGATCTGAGATGAGTCTTGAGAAGTTGCTTTTTTAACTGCTTTCCAGATGCCGATGGTGTTGTTATGGGGCTCAAATGAAAAAAAAAATCACTGTTTTAGGTAGTTTGTTATCTACAACTGTGTATCTGCCTCTCTAAGCTTTTGTTTTCACATCTTCAAAGTAAGGCTTAAAAGAGAGTGTTCTGCGGCCAGTCACTGGCATGGTGGTTAAGGTGGCTGGATCTCACATGGCTGATTGCACAGATCAAGTCCTGTACCAAGGAACTTGAAAAACACACCACACACGTGTGTATAAATTTGTCCAAAATCCTGAGAGGAGAAGGGAATAGAAGGGATTATGATGTGGCCATCCTCCATGGGAGGTGGTATCTCACTCTCCCTCTCTTTCTCTCACCAGCAAGTGCATACAACCTCGCAATTTTTTAAAAATGTGTTTTAAATACTAGTTGAAAGAATATATGGAGAGTGCTTGACATGAGTGATTCAGTCAATGGCAGTTACACTGTTTTTACTTCGTTATTGCTCTCATCACACTGTATTGAGTCACAGATGGAACAGACCGTGTCACGTGAATGAGGAATCCCGACAAGAGAAAGATCACAGCAGTTTTATCATTCTTGTATCACAAGAAACTTATAAATTATGTTAGTTAGCACTACCTAAACATTATAGTAGAATGAATTCAAAATGAATTAGTCAATAAACATTTAGTAACAATAAGTTGAAGGCTCTCGGAGTTACCCTTACCTAGGCTATTCCAGGTTCCCTAGTTCAACTCCCTTTATTCTTGATACTCTTAGTACTGGTTTTCCTGATTAGTTTTTAAGTCATTTTTGGCTAGAGTGAGTCAGTCTCCACAAGCTTTTGTTTCTGAGAAGAGTATACAAGCAACAAAGAGGACTTCCATCTGTAAAGAACTAGAAGTGAGTAACGATGTGCACTACTTCGTCTCTGTAGTTTCAATCTCGTAAAGAATGCAAGCAGTCGCAGCAGTGTAGCCCTGCCCTGTGTGTTTGAACATATGCCCTTATCTAACACACTAATATGAGTTAGAATTAACATGGGAAGAATTGAGTTTTCAGTTCTTCACAAATTCGCAAAGTTTTCTCTTTCAAGAAGCCTTTCTCCTTGTAACATCAGTCTGTGCTTCCATCCTCCTTTTGCCCTCAGAACTTCAGTTACACAAATCAATCTTTTTTTTTTTTTTTTTTTTTTGAGAGAGAGATTTTTTTGCTATGGAGCATGTGCCCTCACCAGAGAGACAGACAGAAAATGAGAAGTCCTCCCCCCACCTCCCGGATGGCCACACTACAGTCCCTTCTCTTGCATTCTCCTTTTGGGATTTTGGACATGCATGAGCATGTGCCCAGTAGTTTCGTAAATATTTTCTATCATCTTCCATGTGGCATGCATTGTTCTTGTGATGGTGATGCCACACTAAGACAAGGTCCCTGCTTCATAGAACCTAGAATGTTTACAAACTTTTCTGTAGCCATTAAATTTGAACCTCCTGGGACCAGCAGTTAGCGTAATGGCTATGTCGCTGGACTCCCATGTAGTCGACCGCAGTTTGCGTCCCGGACCCGGTGGCTTAAAACTCACGCCGGGCGCGTGTGCGTGCGTGCCCAAGATCCCGAGAGGATAATGGAGGAGAAGGGATTGCGGCGTGACCAACCCCCTGGGGGGCTGATTTCTCACTTTCTGTCTCTCTGGCAAGTGCACGCAACCTATAGCAAAAACCTCTCCAAAAAAAAAAGAACAAAGAAATTTGAACCTCCTGATGGAAAGTGCAGCATCAATATCTGGTGTATGGAAGGTATTTGTACATACGGATAATTCTTCGCATAGACTATTTTTACTATGCTGGTGTAAGGAACAGAACTGGGCACCAGAGGTCGCGTGCTGTCGCTTCGTGAAGTAGTCTGCCATTAGATACGTGTTTTTTGACTTAAGAACTGTTTTTTGTTTGTTCATTTTTACTTTTGTTTGAGTCTTAATTAGGACCAACCAAATAAGGGGGAAATTTAACATAAAAATCCAGATTTCTAGCTTCTCTCGAAAAAGTTCACATTCCTGTGTTGCAGCAATGAGCTGAAGCTGTCCGCAGTCCACCTCCTCTTTGAGCTGGATCGCATTTCCTTTACTATCAACCCCTCTCCCCATCATATTACATATGTAGGTCTGTGTGTGTATCATGCTTGTTTTCATGGATATGCAGTGAGGGAAGAAAGAAATTCTTTTTTTAAATTTTTTTTATTTATTCATTCATTTTATTTTAATTTGACCAGAGAGAGACACACATACAGAGAGAGTGAGTGAGACAGAGAAAGCGAGAAAGCAAGCTGCCAGGTCTGGGACTCGAAGCGTGGTCAGCCACGTGGGAGTGTCCAGTGGCTTAATCACCATGCCACCTGCTGGTCCCTAGAAAATTCTTCAAATTGTACATAAATCCACTGAGAGCATCTGTCTTTACAACCTAACTCCAACACTAGAAAGAATAACTTATCCCCTCTACCCCCCTTTTATTAAGCGATGTGAAATGCTAACAAGCATTGGCTTTCATTTGAACTATGTTGTATATCAAGTCATCACTCTAAATTTTGTCTGAGTTGGTTTTCTGCATTTTCAAAGTAGATTTCTTATAATTCTCAAATTGTTATTTGGGTCGTTGGAAAAGTCATGACACATTTTTGCATAGAAAAATGTGTCATGACTTTTCCGATGGCCCCATAGATAACTCCAGGCTAAATTCTACTGGATGTTTATCCTAATTAAAACTATATCTAAATCATTCTGATTTGGGGTTTTTCATCCTTTATTGTTGTTAAACTTTGTCTTGGTTTTGCCATGTGCGATTAGGATATTTCAAAACCATAAAATAAAATTAAAACTATAGCTTAATGAAAATGACTTGCTGAACAAAATATATTCATGTTTTATTCTAGCTATCCTTAAAAAGAAGAGGAAGCAAAGATTTACCAAAATCTGAAAAAAAGACTCAACAGACTCCTACAGAGGTATGTGGAAAATAAATTTTTACCAGTACATCAAGCATGTCTAAATGTATAATAAGAATATGTAGCTGTAGATACAGGAAATATAAAATATTTAGTGTATCTGTTTATAAATCCAGCAGTAATATCTTTATGGAAATCACTTTTAATATTAAAATCACATTTTCTGCACTCAGCAAAATGTCATTGTACACTACGTGCTGCAGGATTTGAGAACTGGACCTATGACACAGATCTTATTTTCTTTCCTCAGAATTAATAAGGTCAATAGAATGGTTGTCTCTCTAGTATCAGGAGAGAGTAAAGAACGGAATGTTGTAGGAAGGGAGGGTTGAACAGAGTGAGAAGCTTGCAAGCCCTGGAATGAATTCTCCATACCAGTGACTGGAGAACAAACAAGAAGGAAACAAAGGAATTTAAATAAAACTGAGAAGACGTACTCCCCATGAGTTTGTTAAGAACCTCGGAAACACAGCCCAGTACAGACTATACTTCTAGGGTGAGCAGAAGGTGCTGATAATTGCAATGAAGGAGATTTTAGAATAGAAAGGAAAATATTTGGGACAAAAGTAACGTTATGGCTCTCTAGAAGCACTAGGCTAGGTAGTGACATTTAAATGTGTGTGTTGGAATCTATAATGCTATAATCCCCATCGTAAAAATCATTACAAACTGTTTTCTCACTAGATAATTTCAGGGTAATATTTAAATATTCAATGTGTGAAAAAGTTTATCTCATTTTTTAAAAAATCTTAAAAAAAATGTTATTTACAGGGATCAGCAGATGATGTAATGATTCAGTCATTGGACTGAACTTGTAGTTCAAGTCCTGAACCTGGTGGGTTAAAACTCATGTTAGGCGTGTGTGCTTGCATGCCCAAAATCCTGAGAAGAGAATGGAGGAGAAGGGATTGCATCATGGCCATCCCTCCTGGGGTGGGGTTAGGGTGATTTTTCACTTTATGTCTCTCTGGCAAGCACATGCGCCCTATAGCAAAATCTCTCTAAAGAAAAACAACAACAACAACAACAAAAAACTTATTTTTCCTCTTCAATTTGACCAGAGAGACAGAGTAAGAGGGAAAGTGAGAAAGCAAGCTGCCAGGTCTGGAACTCAAACCATGATCAACCTTGTGGGAGTCCAGCGCCTTAATCACCAAGCTACTTGCTGGCTCCCATTGCAATCATTTTTTTTAAAACATAACATAGTAACTATATATAATTTTCCCTTTTCTTCTTTCTCCCTATTCTGTTTTTGGTTAATTTTTTCTAGGTACTTGCAAGAGAACATTTATAGACCTCAGCATTTAGAATCCCAGAGAGTCTCATACTAAGATTACAAGACCGTTTTTGCTCCTTTCTCCTTATTCTCTTACGAAGCTCAAATATGCAGTCACTAAACAACTTTTCCACTCTGTCTTTGCTACACCATTAGCCACCTGACTAAATAGTTTACTGTGGATCATTTCACACATTTCCATTAATTCTCTTTCCTACCTTGTTTAGGTAGTAAGTATGATATGCCCCTGCCCTAAAATCTTAAGTCAGCTTTAGTTGGCAGTTTATTTTTGAAAACTCCATATTTGGGGGCCAGCAAGTGGCATGATGGTTCAGGTGCTGGATCCCACATGGTCAACCGCAGTTCAAGTCCTGGACCTGGCACTTGCTTTCTCACTTTCCCTCTCTCTTCCTCTCTCTCTCTGTCCCTCTCTGGTCAAATTTAAATAAGTAAATTTATATAAAATAATTCTTTGGTGAAAAAAAAAGAATCTCAGAAGGAGAATGGAGAAAGGAGTGCGCATAGCCATCCACTCGTGAAGGGTGATTTCTCACTTTCCCTCTCTGTCTCTGTCTCTCTGGTGAGCGTACATGCCCTATCGCAAAAACTTTTTAAAAAAATCCACATTTGTCTTCTTTTTCTGCTTCCTATGTTAAGGTTTCTTTGTTTTCTTCAGCAGTATTTTGACCAGGAGTTCTTCACTGCTTATTCCTGGTTCTGTGGCCTCTAGTTCACATGCATGTGGCACCTCTCTGCAAAAGACATCCAGTTAACATTGGTTGCTCTGTGGAACCTGGGACCTTACGGAAGTTAAGATGCCTTTTTATTCCAGGGCCGTGAACTCCTGGGAAATGTATAAATATACACTTTTGAAGTCCTTTTATCTTTTCCAGAACATTTATTTTCAGAGGCTATAACCTGTCACTTTTCAAATCGTACTCCTGGAGATCAATCAGGACCATCTCCCATGGGAGATTTCAATGATAAAATGGTCCATATTTATACATTTTCTAAAATAACTCTATCTAGGTTGCTTAGTCTAGGTTGAGGACCACGGAGTCACGTACTATAAGCCTCCCTTTCCACTGCAGTTCTTATTTCTGCATTCATCTCTCTTGGCTGTGCAGCTGTAGATAGGGGCCCTCTTATTCAGCTTTGATTCGTCTTCGTCTAGTGTCTGGCTCTCTGTACATGCTCAGTCCACACTTATTAATACTTCCCTGACCCCCTTTTCTAGGCTGAGCCACATCAAATTGCCCTAGTGCTATTCACTTTGATCTCCAGAAATGGCAATTTCCTAAGATCTGTCCTGCCACTATTCATACAGCTTTGTATTGCATTAATTTGCTTCACCTTCTTTGATCTGTTTCTTATGTGTTCCCCCAGAAACACAGGGACATTACTGAGAAACGGTGTTGCATAGCAATTAAGAATAATACCTGCCAAACAGGTGGTCTAGGTTGACTCTCTGACATACACCAGCTCTGTGACTTTTGTCAAGTTATTTGTTGTTTCTGTGTTTCTGTTTCCTCAGCTATAAAATAGGGAGCATGATAAGGAGTTGTAAAAATTAAATGAATTAATATTTGTTAGATTAGAATGAAATTTAGCTTCTAGTAGTGGCTTCTGAAAGCAAAGCCAGTTTCAGCTCACTTCTTATTTCTTTTATAACTTTTTTCTTTAGATTTTGCTATAGGGCATGTAATAGAGACAGAGAGATGTATGTGTATATAGAGAGAAAATGAGAAAGTACTCCTCAGGGCGATGACCATGACATAATCCCTTCTCGTCCAGCGCTCTCTCCTCTTGGGATTTTGGGCATGCACGCACATGCACTTGACATGGTTTTCAAGCCTTCATGTTTGGAACTCAAACCATGCAGTTGCCCATGTGTGATCCATCCCCCCTAACCACCACGGCACCCAGCTAGCTCTCAGTTCACATCTTAGTGGCCCTTTATCATCTTTACGTTTCCTTCTTCATATGTTGCTTATGTCTTTATATAAGTGAGTGCTTTACATACACAAAAGTACGAAGCAGCTTGCTCCATGCCTTGGAGCATTTTACTTTTTTTTTTGGTCTACATGCGAAATTTGGGAGCAAAGGTTTACTGATCAGCAGCTACACATGATGCACTTTCCATGAATTTCTTTTGTTTTTTTTTTTTTTTCAATAATTATATGTGGTATTTCTATGGCTGGTTCCAAACACAACCTTCAATAGTTAGGTTACAAGATGAAGAGGCAAGGCAGATTGGCATACAGAGTTATTAAGCCCTTGACAGTGCAAAAACTAGCCCACTTTGCCTTGAAATTATTTCTTTTGAACAAGTACATAATTACCACATCATCATTTTCTTGATGGGTCTCTTTCCTAGTAGTGATTACATTATATGCAGTATATGACCAAGTCTTAATCTTAATGTTTCCATTCCTGTGGGCAGGAGACCTTACATACACAGGAATTAGATACTCTCTCTTTTACTCTCTTAACGCAGCTTGGTGAAGTGTTACCCTGCTCTAATTTGTGGCATGGATCACTCCTACTGCAGTTTTGGTTAGATTCAAACTGCAGCATATACCAATGTAGTGTGTGTGTGTGTGTGTGTGTGTGTACACATACTAACAAAGGCCTGGCTTTGCAGTCAAGGATTTTCATCAAATATGTAGCCCTTCCTAGCTTCCCAGTCTCACATTCTCTTACTGTTCAATAAAACCTAGCCCAGGTAAAATCGCATCTGATATTGCTGATCATCTTTCTGTTTAAACATTGTTTCTAGTTCTGGGGCTTCATGGACTTAGCCTCCTCCTCCAAAACCTCCAACCATTTCTTATCTGGCTCCTCTTCTTTAATTCTCCTTCAGTTGTCTCTGTAACCACTGCAGTAGCTTCAGCATCTCATTCTCATGTTTTCACCTACAGACCTGAGGTCTCTGCAGGTCTCAAGGTGTAATCTTCATCATCTCTAAGCTTAGATTCTACATGGCAGTTGATAGGTGTTTCTCCTTGGTATCCTTCCAGTGTGACATCTCAAAGACAACTTTTTTTTTTTTCTTTTTGAGAGGTTCTTGCTTTAGGGTATGTGTGCTTGCCAGAAAGGCAGAGAGAGACAGAGAGAAAGAAAGCAAGAAATCACTCCCCACAAGGGGGATATCCATGGAGCAACCCTTTCTCCTCCACTCTCCTCTAGGGATTTGGGGCACACATGCACATGCATTTGGTGTGAGTCTCATTCGCTTGGTCTAGGACTCAAACCACAATCAGCCACATGGGAGTCCAACATCCCAACCATTATGCCACTTGTTGGCCTCCACAGACAGCATTTAAAAAAACTTAAATCTACCTTCTTCACACAAAATCTGCTTCTCCAGCAAAAAGCCCAAGTTCAAAATGTCAAGGTTATGTTTGATTCTTCTGTGGACATGTCTTAAACCCTCTCTTCTTCCTCTCTATGAGCTGCTGCAGAAGTGCTCTCATGTCTTCTCCCTGCACTTCTCATCTTCCTTCTAAACCTCTTCTACAGAAAAGAAGGCAAGCCAACACATCTGATTTCCTTAATTTTATCACATGGTGCTACTTCTCTTCTTTTGTGTTTGTTTCCCAGAGGCAAAATGTTCAGTGGAAGAAATATGAGTGTTGGAATGAGCCTAGCTAGATATAGATTATACTGTCACTCATTAACTTATAATTTGCCTTTTTAATAAGCCTTGCTTGGTCAAACCTTGGAGCCTAAGGTTAAGGCAGCCAGATCCCATATGGCCCAGTGTGGTTTGAATCCCGGCTGCTTGAAAAACATATGGACATATGCAGGTGCGTGCCCACAATCCCAATGGGATGGAAAAATGGAGAAGAAGGGGCTGCCGAGTGACCACCACGTTGGAAGATTGTTTCTCTCTCTTTCTGAGTTCACATGACCTTTAGCAATTAAAAATGTAAGAAAAACTTCTTCATCTTTATAGGAGAGAAGTATCTACTATCTTGAAGGACTGAAGGTTTAATGATATAAAGCAAATGTTGTTCAGTTCTCAAACTTTCTAGTCCCAGCAGCTCTCTAACCTGTCATATTCCCATTAGTAGATAGAAGTGTAGGAGACCGGTCCGGCTTTCCATCTCTTCCATCTCAAAGGCTCGGTGCCATATTTACTGAGCATCACTGGTAGAAGCTCATTATTCTCATCTTCCCTTCCAAACTTACTACTTTTTCAACATGATGCATCTGAGACAGGTGATTCTGAGTGCTGGATAAGAAAGGCATTTTTATTTCCATTTTTAAAATGAGGGAAGCAATGTCCACAGAACTTACAAGACACATACTTAAAAAATTTTGGAAAGATGTAGTTGGGAAATACATCATTGGATATAGTCATGTGCTTCTACCATTGTTCAAGGGAGAAGAGTGGATTTTTATTTCTCTTTTTGTACTTTTCAATTTAATTCATGATTAAGTTTTGAAGGTTGTCCCAAGAATGTTTCAGAGGAACTTCTACAAGTTCTACTCCACTATCCTTTCACTAGGCAGAACCACTTTATCCATTTTAGACTGATGGAAATACATCCCACTTCATACGTGATCTAGATGGAATATCTACCAGTTTCTCCTAGAGCTATCCTAGTATCAAACTTGCCCTTCTTAAAGGCCTTTAAAACAATTCTCCTTTGAATAAAAATGGAAGGTAAACTACCCCCCCCCATGGGATAGTGATAATAAGCCTGAACTTTAATTTCTGACAGAACTGAGTTCAAATTTCACCTTCATCCATTGCTACTTATTAGCAGGGTAACCTTGAGGTAGTCCTTGTACCAGGAACGTCCGTTCTCAGGAGTGTACACTGAGCAGGAAGCTAGGTCATCTGTGTAAAAGCCGTTCCAGCATCTGGCTTAGAGTAAGTGCTCCGTGCAGGGCTGTGAATAGGTACTAACCACCCACTCCTTCCAAGGACATGGTTTCCTATTCGTTACTGTTAGAGGAGTTCAAACCATGGAGAAACAAAAGGAAGAAAAGGAATGTTGTAGAATCGCCCACCAGACAATCCCATGTAGTTACACTAAACTTCAAACAGTGATCACCCCAGGGTTTCTGTTTATATTGCTTTCCCTTCTTCCTTCCAAACATATTGTCCTGAATTTTAGTTTTCCAAAGAATTTAAGTGGCTTGGAGAAAATGCATAGTATCAACTTCTCTTTGTCAATAAATCGTTTTTTAAAGTTATATTTATTTCTTTTGTCACAGAGAGTGAGAGCAAGTTGGGCACCCGCTGCAGGGCCTGCTCATGCCCAGATCCCCTTGCCCAGCCTTCCAACCTGTAGGATCACAGGCGCAGGCTATTTACATACTCCCAGCCCTGAGTCCCAGGCCCCAGTGCCCAGCTGGTCCTGCCATGTCAGCACTGCAGAGCAACCAGTTACAGCCTGCACCATGTAACTGGATCTCTGTTGTCGAATCTTTTTAAAAATTAATCTTAGTTATTTTTATTATTTTAATTTGTTATAGGGTACGAGAGAGAGAGAGCAAGCTGCCTGGTCTGGGACTCGAACTGCAGTTGGCCATGTGGAAGTACATCTCAGCCACCACACCCCCTGTTGGTCCTGTCATTAAATCTTAATTACAAAAAAAATAATGATTTTGGGGACCAGCAGTTAGCATAATGGCTATGTCGCTGGACTCCCACGTAGTCGACCGTGGTTCGAGTCCCGGATCCAGTGGCTTAAACTCATGCCAGGCGCGTGTGCATGTGTGCCCAAGATCCCGAGAGGAGAATGGAGGAGAAGGGATTGTGGCATGGCCATCCCCCCTGGGGGGTGATTTCTCACTTTCTTTCTCTCTGTCTCTCTCTGTCTTTCTGGCCACAGCACACGCCCTATAACAAAAATCTCTCTCTCAAAAAAAAGATTTTTTTCAAACAGTCGCTTCTTATTTTTTTGAATGTACGTAGAAACGATCTTTTCCTTTCCCTTCTTTTCCCCACGAGGAGGACAATGAAGATCTGAAATGCCAGCTACAATTCGTTAAGGAAGAAGCTGCTTTGATGAGAAAGAAAATGGCCAAGATTGATAAAGAAAAGGACAGATTCGAGCACGAGCTCCAGAAGTACAGATCCTTTTATGGAGACCTGGACAGTCCTTTGCCCAAAGGAGAAGCTGGGGGGCCTCCCAGCACCAGAGAGGCTGAACTCAAGCTAAGGCTGAGGCTGGTGGAGGAAGAGGCCAACATCCTGGGTAGAAAAATCGTGGAATTGGAGGTGGAGAACAGAGGCCTGAAGGCCGAACTGGACGACCTGAGGGGCGATGACTTCAACGGCTCGGCCAACCCCCTCATGAGAGAGCAGAGCGAGTCCCTGTCGGAGCTGCGGCAGCACCTGCAGCTGGTGGAGGATGAGACGGAGCTGCTGCGGAGGAACGTGGCGGACCTGGAGGAGCAGAACAAGCGCATCACTGCGGAGCTCAACAAGTACAAGTACAAGTCGGGCGGCCACGACAGCGCGCGACACCACGACAGCGCCAAGACCGAGGCCCTGCAGGAGGAGCTGAAGGCGGCTCGCCTGCAGATCAATGAGCTCAGCGGCAAGGTCATGCAGCTGCAGTACGAGAACCGCGTGCTCATGTCCAACATGCAGCGCTACGACCTGGCCTCGCACCTGGGCATCCGCGGCAGCCCCCGCGACAGCGACGCCGAGAGCGACGCGGGCAAGAAAGAGAGCGACGACGACTCGCGGCCGCCGCACCGGAAGGGCGAGGGGCCCATCGGCCGGCGAGGGCCCCATCGGCGGCGAGAGCGACTCCGAGGAGGTGCGCAACATCCGCTGCCTCACGCCCACCCGCTCCTTCTACCCGGCGCCCGGGCCCTGGCCCAAGAGCTTCTCCGACCGGCAGCAGATGAAGGACATCCGCCAGGAAGCCGAGCGCCTGGGCAAGACCATCGACCGGCTCATCGCCGACACGAGCACCATCATCACCGAGGCGCGCATCTACGTGGCCAACGGGGACCTGTTCGGACTGATGGACGAGGAGGACGACGGCAGCCGCATCCGGGAGCACGAGCTGCTCTATCGCATCAACGCGCAGATGAAGGCCTTCCGCAAGGAGCTGCAGACGTTCATCGACCGCCTCGAGGTGCCCAAGTCCGCAGACGACCGCGGCGCCGAGGAGCCCATATCCGTGAGTCAGGTACAGTTCTGCCTATTGCGAGCCACGGCGATGGCAAGGCTGGCTCGCGGAGCGACGGTCCCTGGTGGGCCGTCTCCGCGCCCTGGCCTCCACGCCCCGCTTTAGCCAAGTCCCAGCGCAGAGCCTCGCTGGGGTTTGAGCCGCAAGGTGCCCATTCTTTCGCCATGTCCTTTTCAGGCTTGAAGTTCTTTCAGCCCATCAACTTAGCGTCTGTTTCCCTTCTGTTTTTGTTTAAAAGGGAAATTTGACAGCACCACCCTCAGTACTTGTGTAAAGATGAAAGAATTCCTAAGAAATATTATTTTAAGTCAACATTTTCCAATAATACTCTAACAGATCAAGGTTAAAAAAAAAAGACTTGAGTGGAATCTTCAAATGATTTGCCTATTTTGAGCCAAGATCCAAATTGAGTTTAAGACCAAAAAAAAAAAAACAAAAAAAAAATTAGGATTGATGAATTAACTACTGGTAAATGTGAAAACCAGTGGTAAAGGGATGGAATCTTATATCTAGAGCCTTACCAAAAGAAATAATCCTTTAGCATAACTTGAAGTAACATAATCATTATTTCTAGAGAAAATCAAGGTCAGTTCTATGGTGGAGAATCTCAGGACTGGGGAAGGAGTGATACACTGTAGCTTTAAGGCAACACTAATTCAGAAAAATAGTAGCAACTATTCCAGACCCGGGAAACCCAGCATCTCCTCCATCCTGATTTGTAGAGGCACAGCGGATGACTTGGACTGAGCTGCTTTGGCCAGGTATGGTGGCCACTTAAAGACCAATGCATTCTGTAAGAATTACCCACATCAAAGTTAATTTATGAAACAACAGGCAGTGCTGTCCTTTCTGGCAGGCCTGGAGTCCTGAACCCATTGGAGAACCCACGGAAGTACAACAGCATGCATGGCTTTTAAGACACGCAAGACAGTGATACTTAAAAAGCAGTTCATAACAGAAGCATGACGTTCATATAACTGCCTGTTAGTCACAACTAGAGAAATTGCAGCTCTGACGCTTGGTTATCTTGCATGTTGCTCTGCTTTGCTATGAAAAGAAAAAAAAATGTTTTATGATATATATTTATTGGATTTTGAAATGTTAAAGCTTACTTTTTTATTTCTCATATCAAATCATTGTTTTTTAGTTATTTTATTGCAGATTGTTTAATACTGTGAGCATGTGAGTTTTCAATTATACTCTTGGGGGGAAAACATAAAAATCAGAGAGAACACTGTGTAAAATAATGGGGTTTCAGATTTTGCAAATCTAGGTTTCTTCGTTATCTAAAGTTATCTATGAATATCTAGATTAGTTTATATCAATTGCACTTTTAAACTTTATTATTAATTAACTCTTCTCTTTGTCTTTGCGTTTACCTTCCCAGATGTTCCAGCCTATCATTTTACTTATTCTCATTCTTGTATTATTTTCATCACTTTCTTACACAACAATATTTAAACTTGTCTTTCTTTTTACACTGTTTTTTGTACTGTAAATCTTTCATCATTTACCATTCATTGTAGTATTTTCAGTTTGTTTATTTTGTTCACCCTTCAAGACAAGAAGTAAAAGAAGTATAATTTCCGTAGTAACCAATGCTCTAAAAACACTGAAGACTGCTTATTTCTTTAAAAAGATACAACTCTTCTGACCACTACCAAATTCAATAAGAAGCCCAAGCCCAAATATTACAGGTAAGGAAGTGTGACTTCCTTTTTTTCTCTTATAGTGTAAATTACTTCAATTTCTCTTATCCTCCCATTTCATCTGGATTTGTACTCTTCCTGGTAAATAACACACTGACACTGTCAAAATTACTAACTCTCTCATAATTATTTCTAAATCATTTATCATTGTGATTATTCAGAAGCTGGACATTCACAAGTTGATCATATCCCCCAAAATTATATACATATGTAAAACACCTTTGCTAGATTGTATCAGTCTTACAAGATCATTTTAGTATCCAATAAATATGTGTGAAAAATATGGCTAATGAATGAAATGTAACTTTCAATGGAAACTAAGTCTTGTGTTGTAGTGCTAATATGTTCTATTTACAGCAATGTGTTTGAAAGTATGAAAGTGGATTCATTCATTGAGAAAACAATTATCCACATTCTACCGCATTTGACAGCTTTCCACCAAACCATCACTTTTGCATTTACTTATATACCTGGAGCCATCTATCGCTAATTAAAGTTGCTTGGAATCCTGTTTTCTATAACAGATTGACACATCAAACTATTTCCAGAGTAGGAAAGATGCTAGGCCATTAATGCCAAGGCCATTAGCATAGTTCCAGTGGGAGTTGCTCTCTGGCCGTAAATGGAACTTCAGTGGAACAAGCATCTGCCTTTCTCCTCATACCTAAAGTGGTCTGGAGAGAGTCCATACACCCACGGGCCCTGTTCTCTCTATCTCATTGGTAGCTTATCCAGTGGAGAGCTGGAATGCACTAGTGCCACCCAGGAATCAGAAATCCCAGCACTTGTCGATATCACATTCTTATAAACACTCATAGAATAGTGGTAGATATGAAAGTCTGTGATAAAGCAAAGTGTCTGTGCCTCAGCAAAACAAATAATGGATAGAGATGCTTAGCTCTACAACAAAAGTTTGTACTTGTCTTGGCCTTTTGAGTCCCAGGAATTTTAACTTGTAAAGGACTATGATTTATTGATAGCCTCACCCCCCCCCACACAAATCCCTTCAACTATTAATTTAAAAAGACAAAAATAGAAACAAAACTTCAATAATTGTGCAGTTGGATTCAAAATAACTGCCCGTACTCTTCATGACTTGTTTTGTGTGTTTGTTTTACTTTGGTGGGAGAAGGATAGACTTGGAGTGGTCAACCAGTAGTTGGAATCTGTCGATGCCTACTTCTGGTTTTATCTCGCAGAATCAGAGGGCAAGGCAGAACTTCTTGACAAAAAAAGGAATGAAATGAGATAATGCTATGCTTAGTCAATTACTCAAGTGTTTACTTAAAAAAAAAAAATCTCCTATTAGGGATAGCAACCACTTTAAAACCAAATCTGTCAGATCCTTGATGAATGTCCAGGTTACCATCTCAATGGAACCATTTTGGCAAAAGAAGAGAAAGTAAATGTTTAAAGGTTGTAATGTATCTGTGTCGCCTTGAGCCACATATACCTAGTTGATAGCTACTACATACACTCAACTACCTATGGAGATTTGAAAGTGCATGGAAGTGTTGCTGGGTGTCCGTCACAATGACCAGAAAGCTCTCTGATGCTCAGAAGGCAGAGGTCAAAACTTCAAGCTCCCTGTGTTTTCATCTCACAAATAATTTTTCAGCCCAAATTGCTGATGTAATGGTCTCTGTGGAGAAACATGGCATGCGATATCTCATGTCTCACTATTCTGTGTGGCTTTAGGAAACTGGCTTCAGAATTTTAGCTCTCTTTATCATCAGGGGAGTCAAGAACTAAGACTAGATCAGGAGTTCTCAGCCCTAGTTGCATATTGGAATTCCGTGGATGTTTTTAGAATTGACTGACCACCTTTGTACAAATTGAAATTGAATGTATAGGCTCAGGCATTCGTATTTTTTAAAACCCCATAGGACCACTGGCTTATGTTTGAATTATGCAAAATACATGTAGCCTCCAATAAGATTACAGTAAATAAGCCTGGTGATATTAGGAAGTCATGCTGCATTTTTACATAGAAAAATATACCATGATTTTCCCGATGACCTAAGAGAATCCTCAGTTGTTCAGGTTTGAGTAGAGCTTAAAGTTTCAGTCACTCAATGGATGTCTGAATCCTCTCTAGAACATTTCCACTCAGTAGTCAGATGGTCTTTGTGAAGAGACTTCTAGTGAGAGAGCAGTTCTGTTTCCACACTGGTGGTGTTAGAAAATGTGTCTTTTGTTAGTATAGGTTCTTAAAGCCAACAAACTCCAATGAGACATATAGGAATAACCTGTAACAGAAAGGAGAACCAATATGAATAATGTGTGTGTGACCCAGAGATAATAAGCACATGTTCACACTGAATTAAAGCCTCAGTAGAATCCCAAGGTGATCTCTTATCCCAAGCACTATTATGATAAAGTCCCTAGCCATTCTTAGATGTAAGGACATCATAAATATATATGGGGGTTGTACGTATACTTCCAGCAATAACTCGTGGCCTCAGTAAGCAAGGACAGATGTAAGAGCTAACCAAAACACAAGTCTTATCTTTTGATCTCTCTTTAGGACTTCTGGTCATCCTGATAACAGAGATGTTTGTCTTACTTAATTTTATTTTTAATTTTTATTTTTTTTAGTTTTGTTTTTGTTATAGGGCATGTGCACTTTCCAGAGAGAAAGAAAAAGAAAAAGTGAGAAATCGCTAACCCAGGAAGGATGGCCATGCCACAATCCCTTCTGTTCTCCTCTTAAGATTTTGGGCATGTGCATGCACACAAGCACACACACACACACACACACAAAGTGTGAATTTCAAGCCACCAAGTTTCAGACTTGAACTGCGAAGTTGGTCATGTGGGATCCAGCTGTCTTAACCTCCATGTCACCTGCTGGCACCTTATAAACTCTTAATTGATCTTATACAAGAATTCCATGAGAATCTTGAACCCTGTCCAGAACATTCCCATAAGACATTGGGGAGAGCAAAGTAGGCTCTTTGAAAAACTAAGTTGACTGCTGCTTATAGGTTCTGGTGGACTTTGAATCTCTCTGACAATGCTCTTACATTAGTGAAGCAACCTTACTATACATACAACTGGATTCCAGGGAGGCTCTTTTCCAACTCAGCCCTACCTGTTGCTGAGCCATGTTACAATTGTGCCTGCATGTACATACTCTTTTCTATCACATTGTGCAGTGTAAAGAGAAATGCACCCTTGGTCATGGCATGCAGATTTCGCTGTATCTCAGGGCACAAGCCGGGGGCCAGTAGGTGGAATGTGGTCTCCACACACTGCCCACAGCACAAAGTGATGTTTTTTCCTGCCATCTTCTCTGTAACTTCAGGCTGTTCTTTGGGTGCCAGAATTTAGAGTGCATCCCTCCCTTACACCAGAATAGAGACATGGGAAGAGAAGTTAATAAAGATAGTACCGAAGATCTTGGAAAGAAACTCCCAGCATCCCCCTCCCATCCCTTTGACTCTAACTTGTGTTATTTTTGTTATATTAAGCTAATCCTTAGAGAAAAACACGCAGGCTTTGTTCACCAAGAAAGCAATGCCTCCCAATAATTGAGTCAAGGGCTCTCTCCTATTTTCCTCTTTGAAGTTGTGCTATTTAAACATCACACTGAAAATAAACTCAAGAATGCAAACCTTATTGTAGCAAATTTCCTTGCATGCACATTCTTGGTCATAGGAAGGAATGTCCTTGTTATTTTGGCCTAAATTTGAAGAGTTAAAAAAAAAAGGAATTCAGTTGGCTATTTTTAAGCATAACTGACACAGTCATAAAACAAAGGAAAATTTAGTGCTGAGCTTGGAAAGTCTATCGGCCTGCATGCCCCACTCTTGACTTCCATTCATATGGCAGAGGTGGATATGGTTATTTAATCAGCTGCCAGTGAAGTTTGGAATGTCAACTCTAGCTTTAGCTCCAAATATTCCTTTAAATGTAGATACATTTTCATAGAACTACAGCTCTGTTTCAAATTCTTGTTTAGGGTATTTCAAATTCAGATAATTAAATTATGCTTTCATCTTGGTTATTTTTGTATTAAATTATTAGTACATTGTAAGATATAATGCAGCATGAAATAAGCCAGACTATGAAAGACAAAAAACATATGTCTTATTTAACGTATACTGAGTATCCACACACTAGGGTGGAAACTGAAGGATTTGAAAGCACAAAATAAAGACACTAACAGTAGATACCAGCAAAGGCTCAGGGAAGGATAAGGCGGATTCATGAGAAAGTCTGTAATGTACACAAGAATGCATGTAAGTAAGGGAAAGTGGCCGTGGGATAGTGTATCACAGCAGAGTGAAAAATATATAGTTTGGTGTGTCAATATACATATTTCAGGAAAAAATTAGTAGAACTGTTAACAAACGTACACAGCATAATGGAATGTTCAGTGTTGAAGAGGTGAATATGATTTAGCTACTATATAGTGAATACATGAATTAAGAAACCATTGTATGATACAGATATATATCCATTATATGTATACTAGACATTATAATAAAAAAGAATAAAAATTAATTAGTTAATTGAAATTTAATTAAGAAAGGGCTAGCAGGTGTCATGGTAGTTAAGGCACTGGATCCCACATGACCAGCTCCTCAGCTTGAGTCCTGGACCTGATGCCTTGAAAAACACACTGAGTACGTGTGTGTATGCATACCTAAAATCCTGAGAGCAGAATGGAAGAGAAGGGATTGCAGCACAGTCAGCCCCACTGGGAGATGCTTTATCATTTCTCTTTCTCCATCTATCCCTGTCTCTCTTGGATGGGCTAATGTGCTGTAGAGCAAAAATATAACAGAACAACTGGAACCTTTCAGAAAAGTTTAAAACACCAAGTCATTTAACAAAGTGACGAGTCACCCTGAAGTATTCAGCAATGATGCAATTTCTTGACTATATGAAGAGCTTTAAAATCCTGCATACTTCAGAGTTGCAGCTCTGAAAATTACAGATTCTGAAAAGGTGTGCTTAACATCTTTGAGAGTGTTTTACATTGAACCACTTATATAATCTATGTTAACAAGATACATAAGTGATTTTTGAAGACTGGAAAGCAGTATTTATTTCTGAAGTTGTCCAACATGATGAATCCTTAAAGTAAGCTCTTTAAGATTATTTCAAATGTATCCGCCTTAGCCCAGCTGTGGTGGCACCCACAGCTAAGATGCTGTCTCTTCAGGCTGTGACTTGGGAGGCTGGTGTTCATTCCTGGTCCAACTCAGAGGCTGGATGTGGTGATGCATGCCTGTGATCCCAGC